ATATCTCTGGTAATGATTGTGCAATAATAAAATAATAACTTGAGATATTTGTGTAATTATATTCTGCTTATACACGATGACTAAATTTATCATTTTGATATGTTATTGAATGATTATAAATTGAATAGCCCAAACTATTGGATTGGAAAAGAAATCTGTTTAATTTCCTAATGCTAAAATTTTAGCCTATGATTGTCTAAGGTGACATGCCTGCTAAACCAAATGTAATTGATGATAAAGATCATCAGTCACAATCCTTCTTAAAAATAATATGATAAAAGTAATGTTCATAAGATGAACACACATATATACTTTTTCATAAGATGTTTTGATATATATTGACAAATTAGATTTGTTGGAAGTTAAGATCAAAATCAAATATTGATGTGATATTTACTTCCTAATCCCCACCCTTGTTCAATATAACTATCACTTTATTAGAACTGAACAATTTGTTAAAGAAAAAGGAAAAGGAATATTATTAAGCAGGTTAAATCCATAATGATGGATATCGAACTGGATTGTCTAGTATTAAGAAAAGAAAATTTTCTTAAGAGAGAAATCTAAAAAGTAAAATAGGTTTCTGAACATGAAGCGGGAACTTAAATAATGAATGTTATTAGAAAAGAAAATTTTATAAAGGTTGCATTATATCACTTAATAAAGAAATGTCTTCTGAAAATAGTTCACTCCATTTGTTAGTAGAGTCTACTAATGTGAATGATTTTTTATATATGATGTATTAATTCTAATTTATCTTTATATACTTACAAATTGTTGTAAGAGTACAAGAAAAGATTAACTTTGACAATAGAAATAAAAGCCCTAGTTTTAGCATTGTAAATAAAAAATAAGAAGAAGAAGAAATTTATTTCTGATTTTGAGTAAAGAGCATGAAATAAAACTTAGAGATTGTCTTAATTTTTCTTAAAGTTAGAAGAAATTTGATTTCTGCTATATAAATTTTATAGTAGTGATTTTCTATTTTCTTATAAAATAGAATTTCTATTAAAATTTTGAAATTGCTTTGTTAACAATTATGAAATTAACACCATTTATATTTTATAATTGTCACCCTTAACTCTTATGTAATGTTATTGGAATTGATAATTCTCTTAAAATATAGATTGGATCAATGTAATCTAACTTATTTTTGGCACACAATGTTAGGTCGTTTTAATGTTGATAAGATCAATAAGCTGATAAAGGATAGTCCTTTGAATTTTCTAAAATTAGAATATTTCTCAACTTGTAAATATTATCTAAGAGACAAGACCACAAAACTATTTTTCTAGAATAGTGCTAAAGCTCTTGCGTACTATTGACTAAATACATTCAAATGTATATGATTCTTTAAATGTTAAAGCAATAGTTAAATATTCTTATTTTATATCATTCATATGTAATGCATTTATATATTGATATATTTATGCGATTGCATCATAAATTAGAATGTTATTGAATAATTAAAAGAATATAGACTAAAGTTAAAGAGGAACTTGATAAAAATATCAAAGTCATCCGATTTGATCGGGGTGATAAGTTCCTATTTTTAGGAGTTTAAGAGGTTTATAAACAAAATAGAATTGTTAGTACTTGACATCTGCTAATTTACCACTCTTAATTATTTGCCTGAAAGATGGAGCTAAACCTTATTCTATATGGTTAGATTTATGCTAGGCATTTACATGTTCTTACTTTCTTATAGGTTATGCATTGGAGATTGCATATTATTTATTATGTAGAATTCCTGCCAAACCTTTTTCTTTCACTCCATATTAGATGTGGATATGGAGAAAATTAAGTGTACAATGCTTAGAGATTTGGAGTTGTCATATTTTCATCAGAGAATAAAATATGCATAAAATGAGAGTCTAAGATAAATAATAGCCTATTGGTAGGTTATCCTAAAGAAAGTACTAGGTATTATATTGATAATCCTACTGTAGTTTTCAAATAATAATTATTATTAGAAATGTGTTCTTTTATAAAATAAAACTTGTTGATTAGGATTGATATAACTCTAGAAGAAAACTTGTTTTCTTTAGTGGGAGGGTTATTTAATCCAGTGGGAGAAACTTCAAATGAGTTAAAGATTGTATAAATTTAATTGGAGCTTTAAGTAATAAAATAAATAGAGATTTACTTATTAAATTTATTATTGAATACATTGATTATAATTAGGAGATCAAATAGGATTTTCATCCACATGTATAGTACAGTAACCTTGTTAAAACATATTTGGTGAAAATTAACAATGAGAATAAAAATCTTAAAACTTGCACAAAAGTCATATTGGACATGATTTCATGTAAGTGAGTTGATGTCATATTTGATGACAAATGGTTATTAATTATTGAAGAAACTTTTTATCTAATTGTAATATTATAGTTTATAAGGATCTGTTTAGTCATTTCAACATGTTATGAATATAAGAAATCGATAAATGGATTTCAAAATAACCTTTTTGAATGGATATCTTAAAGAAACTATTTACATATTGAGATTGTAGAATCAAGCATGTAAAATTCAAGAAGATAAGATTGATTAATTGAATCAATCAAAGTTATGAACATAATCAAGCAAAGATTCATTTTGATGAAATGATTAAGGAAATTGATTTTAATCAGATCCTTAAAAAAATCTTGTGTGTATAAGAAACAATAAAATAATTCCATTATATTCCTATTGTTGCGTGTTGATGACATATTACTCATTAAGAATGATATTTTAATGTCATGATTAAAAGTATGATTTAGTTCTTTATGAAGGATTTTCTTTTGTCATTCTATAACTTAGATCTCAAACTCTATATAGATAGAGAAAGATATATATAGAATTATCACAATCTACTTATATAGATAAGATCCATAGAAGATTCAACTTAACAAGATTCCAAGAAAGAAATGGATCAAACATAAATAACCACTCTTTAAGGATATGTGTCCCAAAAAGATTGAGCGTTTTAGAAGTAATTGATTTTGTAAGTAGTTTCCAATCCAACCCTAATAATAGAAAGTTTGTTTCGGGTTATATTTATATCATTAATAATAATAGCAGAATATGTAGTGCCATCTGAAACCATTAAAGAAGGGATATGGATAAATGAGTTTCTCCATAAGCTTAATATTATTTCTTATGATATTTTTCTTTTTCACTATATTTGATAGTAATGGAACTGTTGCGGAAAGCTTAGAAAGAAAAATTATCTTATTAAAGATTAATAAGAAGAAATATGTGATGGTTTAATAGGTGGATAAGTAGATAACATTTAATGTCCTTTTACAAACCATTGTCATAATGTTTTTAACAGATAGAAGTTGGGATTACATCTGATTGAATGTTAGGGCAAGTGGGAGATTGCTGGAATAGTAATAGTAATATGTCCTTGAATATCCAATACAAATTATGTAATAATATTTTAATATTAATAAATTTAATTATTGTACATATAATTTGGGTATTATTTATATAATTGTTATATATCCTTAGAAGTTATTTTGTTAGATCATACATTGTAATAGTCACTTGCTTAGAGATATGATCTAACTTAGAAATTTCTTAGATTTATGCTTAATTAATAACTAGTAAATGATAGCATTGTTATAACAGGTTATCATGTATGACATCGATATGTGAGATGTGGTGGTGAGTCTCAACCACCGGGAAAGGGGATTCTCCGGATGTATATCATAAGCACTCATTGTGATGTGTGTAGCACTAGACCGTATTTGGATTCTCTAGAACAAGTCACCTAGGAGATAGAGATTTCAGATTGTTACATGATCTCTTTGACTTGATGATATTGTTATTTTTTTAATTTAATAATTTAGTATACTTTGATGTGATGGTTAAGCTTGTTTAGCCAGCACTACACAACCTGAAATGTTGGGTTGCTAAATTTCATATAGGGAAATGATGGATATCTAGATAGGATCCAGTATGCTCATTATGATGAGTTAATTTATTATATATTTCAATGAAGTTATTAAATTCTTGCAGGCGGGTGGTTGTAAAAAAAAAATTAATTACTTTCTTATAAAAATAAAATATTTTATGTTCATGCGAATTGCAATTTAGGCATGAGCAAGTAGGTGAGTTGTCCTGCTTAAAAGAGTTGCCTAAAATAAATGATACTGGAGAAGACTGAATGTAAGATATTATTTATTAATAATTAATCTCATATTATGGAAGAGCTTTTATGAACAGTTGGTCGGATATGGATTTTATTATTAAATTAAAATTATTAATTTGAATAATAATTGGTTCTCGATATGGGACCCAATTGGTCTCACTGATATCATTAGAAGATGTATACATGCAATGCAATTCTATTTCTATCCTTAATTATTTTGGATAAAGTTTTTTAACAAATCTATTTTATCTTTAATTGTTATGAATAGAGTTTCGAGCAATTATGAATTGTTTAATATTAAAATCTCTAAGACTAGTCTAATCTTATATATAGAGTTCATATCCTATATATAGAATTCATATGTAGCCTTATGAAGATACAGAAAATCTTATGAATATAATATGAAGAATAGAATAGAAATAGAAATTTGAGAACCTATCTCTCGGTTTTTCTCCTATTCGGTGACGGGTGGAATTCAATTAGAGGCTTTTTCTCTTGAGGAAGCTATTTTCGGATTGATCTCGAGACATATTATTGTAGAAATTTGGAAAGTGTTTCAGGTATTCTTCTAATTTTTAATTAATTTTAATTAATAGTCATGATATGCTATTTCCGCTGCATTGTATGTTATGATTCCAACACTTCACTAAAAAACAATCAAAAACCAAAACAAACCATTGTAAGTAGTACAACAATCTCCGACCAAGATCTCTCACGCTCCCACTCACAATAACCAAATACCAAACTGTAATCAAAAACCAAAACAAGCCATGGGAATACTACAACGATCCGCCACCAACATCTCTCACAGTTCCACCCACAACAATCATAAACCAGACCTAGAAACCATTGAGGTAATATGAAGTTCTCCTACCAACATCTCCCACATCCTCTTCGGCATCGCTCGCCACCTCAGCCCGAACTTGGCCGAGACGACGTCCCTACGCTGAGCTCTGGTGGCGGCGGGGACTCGCCCGTGGCCACGTCTGGCTTGATCAAGCTCCGTATCCGCGCCGATCCTGGCCGAGAACATGCCCACCGCATAAAATCTCCACCGTCAACACCTCCAAGTCCGGCTAAGCTCGCCTCTGCATCCCGAATAGCAAACATCGTCGTTGAATCCTACAATCTGGGTCTGCCTGCAACTAGATATTTGCAGAGAAGCGAAACAGAAGCACTTGTTCCCCTACAGCGCCAGAATGGTCTAGTTGCATGCGATTACAGATGCAACCCTTTACAATTAGTTCTTTTTTTAGAGACTGCTATATAAAACTTCCTTTTCATGAATCTTTTGTAGGTAGACATTCGAGGTGACATGTATGGTATTCTCGCTGCACACCCTGTAGCTCCGCTGTGTTGGGCGCAGAGTCACACCCTCACGCCGCGGAAGCGATATCACCTGAGAGAGAGCCCTGGTTTTTATTGTCTCAAAAACACAAGTCAACTTCTATATTCTTGTTTCTCAAAGGAAACTAGAATAGATAGTGAAATTCTTGTTTCTCAAAAGAAACTAGAATAGAAAGTGAAATATTTTAACAAAGTAAAATATGCACTCTTCCTCTCATCAGTTCTAGAACTGAAATGTCGAGGAAATCTACAAGCAATAGCCAATACCAGAAAACAATAAAGACACGGGATTTACGTGGTTCGGCAAAATTGCATATGTCCACGCGAGGGGTGAGGGGAGATACCATTATGAGAAGAACACCGACGACTTGTACAATCCACAAGCTCGTCTCAAAGAAAAGATCTAATTTTTACCCAAAAGAAATTGACATCTCTTTTGTAAATCCATTTTTTAACTCTCCTCAAGATCTCTCTTTTCTCTCTCAAAACAGCCGCCTAGAACCCTCTGTTTTCTTCTATTCCTCTACGATTTTTTTTTCTTCTCAAAAAAACAGCCGCAGCAAGAGCACCGTCGTTTCACGTTTCCCCCCTACACAAAACCCTAGATAGCATAGGATTTAAATAGAAGAGACAGATGAAAAAAAATTCGGATTTGGTTGATATCCGCGTGAATGGGTGTGTGGCCCCCACATGAGCTGTTCACGCGCTTGTGCCTTGCCAGGCTGTCCCGTGCTCGCTCACAATTCTTCACCTCGTACATCATTTGATAAACCTCAAATTATGGAAAAATACCAGAAGAACAACACGAACATCACCAGAGATATCTGAATACCAAATCAGGTCAAAATCAGGCCAAACCTGTGCCACTTTACCGCAGCTGCCTACGTACCCTCCACCGGGATCAAGCTAACCGTAGTTCTGTAATTGATCTCCATCGTAGTCTCCACCTCACCCCATCACCGCCCCGAAGGGCCATGCCCTCTCTGGCAAATCAACACGGGCTGATATAAAGCAAGTCCAAGCAATGCTTAAACTTGCTATCTGTGACCACCTTAGTCAACATGTCTGCTGGATTCTCATTCGTGTGCATCTTCATGAGAAAAATATCACCTTCCTCTATGACATCCCGCACAAAATGATACCTAACATCGATATACTTGGTACGAGCATGATGAACTTGATTCTTCGCCAAGTGAATCGCACTCTGACTGTCGCACCACAAGTTCACGAGCATGATGAACTTGATTCTTCGCCAAGTGAATCGCACTCTGACTGTCGCACCACAAGTTCACGTTTTCCTGCTCAATCCCCAAATCGCGCCAAGTGAATCGCACTCTGACTGTCGCACCACAAGTTCACGTTTTCCTGCTCAATCCCCAAATCGTCGAGAAGACCCCACAACCACAATACTTCCTTCACTCTCTCCGTCATGGCCATGTACTCGACCTCTGTAGTAGAAAGTGTCACTGTAGCCTGCAACATCGATCGCCAACTAACTGGAGCTCCATGTATTTTGAATATAACCAGTAGTAGATCGTCGTCTATCTAGACCGCCCGCATAATCAAAGTCAACAAACCCATCAATCTGACATGTATCTCCACCAAAACACAAACCCATTTCTGCAGTACCCTTTAAGTATCTCAGGACTCATTTCACCGCTTCCCAGTGCGCCTTTCCCGGATTCGCCATAAACCTGCTGACCACACTAACCGCCTGTGAAATATCTGGATGTGTACACACCATGGCGTACATCAAACTGCCAACTACATTAGCATAAGGAACACGCTCCATGTGTGCCTTATCTTCCACTGTACTGGGAGATTATTTACCTAAAAGCCTGAAGTGTGGAGCCAATGGAGTCGCCACCGACTTTGCACTTTGCATCCCGAACCTTACGATCACCCACTCTATGTAGCCCTTCTGATTCAAAAACAATCGCCGATTCGCCCGCTCTCTCCTAATCTCCATACCCAGTATTTTCCTAGCAGCGCCCATGTCCTTTATCTCGAACTCTTTACCAAGTTGAGATTTCAACCTATCTATCTCCACCATGCTCTTCGAAGCAATAAGCATGTCATCCACATACAAAAGGAGATAGATATTATCACCTCCACGAAGCTTTCGAATGTAAACACAACAATCGTAATCGCTTCGGGAAAACCTATGTTTTAGCATGAAGGAGTCAAATCGCTTGTACCACTGCCGAGGAGATTGCTTTAGTCCATAGAGTGACTTCCTCAAGCGACATACATGATGCTCATTATCCTCAACCTTGTAGCCCTCAGATTGATGCATGTAAATATCTTCATCCAAGTCTCCGTGCAAGAAGGCTGTTTTAACATCAAGTTGTTCCAGCTCAAGATCACCATGAACAACAATACTCAATAGCACCCGAATAGAAGTGTGTTTCACCACCGGAGAAAAGATCACATTGTAATCCGCACCCTCTCTTTGTGCAAACCCCCTAACCACTAGCCTCGCCTTGTACCTTGTACCACCAAGCTCTGAAGGATCTTCCTTTCTCTTGTACACCCACTTACAACCAATAGCTTTTCTTCCTACGGGCAATGGGACCACCTCCCATGTTTGGTTCTTCCGAAGAGATTCCATCTCCTCCTCTATCACAGCCAACCAACTCTTACTATCCTTGTCCCGAATAGCTTCCTTGAAGGAGACCGGCTCATCTTCCTCCACCGAGAGTGCGTATTCAACCAAATTAACCTGCCCATAGTGCTTCAGGGGTTGATCAGCCCCCAGCTTCTGTACCTACTTGTATGCTCGCTTTGGCCTAGTGGAAGTCAAGCTATCCTCGAGCTGTTGTTGGCTGAACCTCCTCCTGCTCAAGCTCATCATCTACCTGATTTTCCTCTTGAACATGATTAGAATCTGGTTGGTCCTTAGGTTCTATCTCAATAACCTGGGACTTTGAAATCCCAACAGTCTCAGCACCATCATCCTTGGGCGTCTTAGCAATCATGGACTTTTCATTAAAGGTAACATCCCTGCTGATTACGAACTTCGAATTTTCTGTACACCAAAGGCGATAGCCTTTTACACCCTTTGCATACCCCAAGAAAATTGCCTTCTTGACCCTCGCGTCAAGCTTTCCCTCGTTGACGTGATAATAGACGGTACATCCAAAAATTCTAAGCCTCTCATAATCTGCATGTTCCCCTGACCACACCCTATAGGGTGTATCACCATCTAGTGTAGAATGTGGAGAACGGTTCACAATGTAACATGTTGTAGCCACCGCTTCTGCCCACCATTCATTGTCCAATCCAGCATAAGATCGCATACTCATTGCCTTCTCCCGCAATGTTCGGTTCAGTCTCTCCGCGACCCCGTTCTGCTGTGGTGTTGACCTGACTGTCCAGTGTTGAACAATGCCATCCTGATCACAGAACTTCTTGAAAGCATCATCTATATACTCTGTACCGTTGTCAGATCTTAGTGTCTTCAATTTCTTGTCTGTCCTATTCTCAACCATTGCTTTCCACTTCTTGAATGTCTCGAATACCTCATTCTTATGCTTTAGAAAATAAATCCAAGCATGCCTTGAATGATCATCTATGAACGAGACAAAATACCTGGAACCACCCTTGGAAGTTGTCTGAGCCGGACCTCAAACATCCGTGTGCACATAATCTAGTATACCTCTGCTCTTGTGATTGCTTTTCAAGAACTGTACCCTATGCGCCTTTCCATACACACAATCCTCATAAAAATCCATGCAATGTTTCTTCAGATTCTTTAGCAAACCCTCTTTACCAAGCAGTTCCAGACCCTTCTCTGACATGTGCCCAAGCCGCCTATGCCATAACCGTGTGTGCTCACATGGGTCTCCACCACTTCCATCAGTTCCAATTGTTGCATCTCCTGTCACCGTCGTACCCGAGAGAGTATATAGATTACCGTGACGAACACCCTTCATCGCTGTTAGAGAACCTCGAACAACCTTTTTTACTCTGTTCTCTGTGACAATCTTGCAACCACCGGAGTCCAATGCACCCACTGAGATAAGATTCTTCCGTAAGTCGGGAACGTGCCGCACATCCGTTAGGGTTCTGACCACTCCATCATGCATCTTGATTTTTATATCACCGAGCCCCACCGTTTTACAAGCATGGTTATTCCCCATCAATATGGTTCCACCATCAATGCTGCTATAGGTAGTAAACCACTTCCTATTTGGACACATGTGGTAAGAGCAACCTGAATCAAGTATCCACTTACCGGAGATATCTTCGCCACCTGTAACAACATAGCATTCTTTAACGCTCCCTTCCTCCGATGCGTAACTCGCCTCTTCCTTGCCTTCTCTTCTCTCGGTCTTGTTGTTGTTCTTTTTCCCACCTACTCTCTTGTTAGGACAGTCAACCTTGAAATGCCCTAGCTCACCGCATTTGAAACACGCCCTTTTTTAGATCTAGACTTTCCTCCCTTACCTTTTCCTCGCTCATGGCTCCTTCCTCTAGCAAACAATCCCTGCACTTGTTCTTTGTTACCACCAGTAGTCATGCCACTGGTTGCAATCTTCCGAAGGTCATCCGCTAGAAGCGTCGTTCTAGTCTCATCCATCGTCAAATTGTCTCCCACAAGCATCAGTGTTTGCACCAGGTTCTCATAAGACTTCGGCAGAGATAGAAGTAGTAGAAGCACCTGATCCTCGTCTTCTACAGTCACATCGATGTCCTTCAAATCCGATATTATCCTATCGAACTTGTTGATGTATTCTCGGATTGATGAGCCCTCCTCTATCTTGTAAGTATATAATTTGGATTTTAAATAGATCTGGTTCGTTAGACTCTTCGTCATGAATGTGCTTTCTAACTTCGACCACACGCCTGCAGCCGTTTCCTCTTCATCTACCAAGAAAGCTACATCCCTTTCAAGGCAAAGGATAATCGACGCCTGTGCAGCCGTTTCCTCTTCATCTACCAAGAAAGCTACATCCCTTTCAAGGCAAAGGATAATCGACGCCTGTGCTTTCAGATCCAGCTCTTCCCAATCCTAATCAGACATATCCTTGTGCTTCTTCTCTTTTCCAGCCAAAGCTTTGTGCAATTTCTGCGAAATCAACGAGTTCTTCATCTGCATCCTCCAATAAGAAAAATCATTCTTCCCATTGAATTTTTCAATCTCGTATTTTCTCACTTTAACTGTTTTACTTATTGACGCCATTCTCCGCTTGTATTAATAAATCCGCTTCTCTCAGAAAATTACCGAGCATCACCTCATACCAGAAGCTACACCACTCTCAATCTGAATAACAGCTCTGATACCAATTGTTGGGCGCAGAGTCACGTCCTCACGTCGTGGAAGCGATATCACCTGAGAGAGAGCCATGCCTTTTGTTGTCTCAAAAACACAAGTCAACCTCTATATTCTTGTTTCTCAAAGGAAATTAGAATAGCTAGTGAAATTCTTGTTTCTCAAAGGAAACTAGAATAGATAGTGAAATTCTTGTTTCTTAAAGGAAACTAGAATAGATAGTGAAATTCTAGTTTCTCAAAGGAAACTAGAATAGAAAGTAAAATATTTCAACAAAGTGAAATATGCACTCTTCCTCTCATCAGTTCTAGGACTGAAATGTCGAGGGAACCTACAAGCAATAGCCAACACCAGAAAACAATAAAGACACGAGATTTACGTGGTTCGGTAAAATTACCTACGTCTACGGGAGGGGTGAGGGGAGATACCACTATGAGAAGAACACCGACGACTTGTACAATCCACAAGCTCGTCTCAAAGAAAAGATCTAATTTTTATCCAAAAGAAATTGACCTCTCTTTTGTAAATCCCTCTTTTAACTCTCCTCAAGATCTCTCTTTTCTCTCTCAAAACAGCCACCTAGAACCCTCTGTTTTCTTCTATTCCTCTACGATTTTTTTTTTCTTCTCAAAAAAACAGCCACAGCAAGAGCACCCTCGTTTCACGTTTTCCCCCTACACAAAACCCTAGATAGCATAGGATTTAAATAGAAGAGACAGATGAAAAAAAATTCGGATCTGGTTGATATCCGCGTGAATGGGTGTGTGGCCCCCACATGAGCTGTTCACGCGCTTGTGCCTTGCCAGGCTGTCCAGTGCTCGCTCACACGCTGCTATCACTGCACCACCTCGGCCACATCAAGCCCATAAACCCCCGCTCTACAACCCAACTTGATGCGGTTCGAGTCGTTAGTAGATGCGTCAAGATTTGACCAAGCCCGAATCTTACAGCAATCATTTTGCTACCTTCAAGACCCATCATTCAACTGGTCTGTTTCAGTGTCATGGGGCTACACAATACAGTTGTATCCATGGATTTTGTTCCCAAAGGACTTGGAAGTCCCTTTACAAACCTTCACGACATGGAGGAGCGTAAGAACCGGACCATTTACATTTCAGTACTCGGGAATTTAGGTTGGATCGACCCTGTAAAAGACTAATTCTGTTCTTTTTAGACAGGATTACGTATCGAAAAGGGAATTTTGGGATTATTAGGACGGTCACAAGGTATTATAAGTACGAGCCAGAAGGAAGTAAGGGATGCGATCTGCCTAGTTTCACTGCTGCAATTAAGGTGGAAAATGTTACAGTCATTGCAGCCAAGATGGACTTCAACCAAAGGATAAAGGTTCATAATTTAAATACAAAGAAATTTTGAGTTGTTTGATGTTAGGTGCTTAAGACGTTATATCCATTGCTTGCTATTTTTCATGACAGGCTCCAAGAAGGCAATGTTGCAAAACTCGTCGAAGAAAGCGAGCAAAGAGCATTGAGGTTCAGATTAGAGATTGCCACCCTTGGGAGATCTCTTCACCACCTTAGAAATGATCACAACAAGGTACGTAATTTTTCTTTTCCTCGTTGCTAACAGAAAAGAATCTTAATGTCACTATAGTTATGTGTAGCATATATTATACAGTTGACATTTGACTTGCTAGTTAGACATCTCTGTCAAAGGACCCTGCCATTACATCTAAACTACAAAACTACAGAGTTATGGTGAAGTCATGGTGAGGGTTGAGAGCCATACGTTTATATTCTAAGATGCATATTCTAAGATGCCCTGAATGGCAGAATCCTGAACTCATGAACTCACGCAGCGGTATCAGTTCTTTTGAACTTGGGTTGCTCTGATGCCAAGTCAAAGGACCCGCCAGTGTGCCAGAACTCTGTGGGTGAGAATTGATGGTTAATAGTTTTACACACTAACAATCTGCAACATGGTATGGAGCATTAACAGCATAATCGTAATACTTTGATATTGTGGGAATGCCTAGGAAAAGAAACTGTGGCTTAAACCAATGCATGGTTAAATACTAATATACAGTTTGTATAAGGTATTCTAATATTCTATATGAACTCATTACACATCACCAAAGAAGAAACAATAGAAGACAACTAGAGTCTGGGGAATTCATTCATGAGCACAATAACATGAGCAGGATCAGAGAATAAACATGGTAACGCAAATACCTTAATCAAGACAGAGTAATCTGCAACAGTCAGAGGATTGACCTTGGCTGGAGTTACTGTATCATGCATTGAGATTCAGGAATTCATCACAAGGAAGAACTAACAGCATACCATTCTTTTAGAAAAAGCATATCCATTTTGAAAGCTTTGGGAACTTTGATGGTCGAAGTAGGATTAAGAAAGGTGCGACCATATCAGGGTTTCATTCTCCCGGCAAGCTCTAACTGTAATCTTTATTATGTTCACTCTAGGCACAGATTCAATTTCGCAGCATTCTCTTCTCTCTACACCCTGAAATGCAAATAAACTTGCGTAACTATCATGCATCAGGATAATTTGAATAATACGATGGGAGCTGAACAAAACGTTTGTGCACGAATGAACACAATAAAGATTACTGACATCAAAGGGGGTAATTCATACTCTACCTCGCACCTACCTCACGCATAGATCAAGATATTGCATAAATTGTATAAGAATGATTCAAGATTCATCACCCTCTTTTTTTTATCCGCATTTGATATACATCATTTAAAAGAATAATTTGATTTGAATATGAGACTGCAGACAGTAAAATGATTGTGTTTCTTTTTTCTTGAGATTATAAAATTTGTGTATCTATGCTTACCCATTGGAGCCTCTTGGCAGGTGTGAAAACTTCGACCTCAGAAATGGATTTCACAGAATGATTTCCACAAGATGATAGTTCCCAAGCAGTTCTTCTGATATAACTAGTAACAGTCTGATTCAAGTCCGCAGCCCTCACAGATTCGAAGTAGAAAACGTGCGGCATTGAGCAAGAATCGTTAGAAAGAGGTCTGACATTGAACATGAAAGGTGGGCTAGCCCTTTTGTTCCAAGCTGAGAAAGTCTGAAGCGGCCTTTGTAAATACCCAGGAGAGTGTAATTCCTCATAGATATGAACAGAATATCCCCATGAGATTGAGACAGACCATCTCTTTTGTTGATCATAACCAATGATTTGTTGTAGAAGCCTTGGTGACTCAACCATTGCAGCTCTCATGAAGTTGTGGACAGCTTCATAGCGTGACATTGAAGGAAAAATGGGATCGATAATGTCAAGATGATGCAAGGTGACTAGTGGAGCTTGGGGGTGAGCTGATAAGAAACCTGATACGTCTCCATGTAGGTCTATCTGTAGAAATAAAATCATCAACATGTGTTATGAAAGGGGATTAAATCATCAACATGTGTTATGAAAGGGGATTAAATTAAAGGAAGGTAAATTCCACAAAACTATTGGGTGCCCACAAAAGAGAGCAAAGAGAACTATCATGAACTTTAAATTTTGATGAACTGTTGAAAATTAAGCAAAATAGTTCAAACATATCACGACTTTAATTGTTGTGAGGTGTGGAAAGAGTTTATGATAGTTTTTCTCTATCCAAAACCCCTGAAGTTCATGGTAATTTTGGGAAAAGTACCCGAAGGATCCGATGTTGACTTGCCTAGGCAACAGAAAAAGCTCCCATAAAGCATTCGTATAAGAGAATCCAGGATTGAAAAGTTTTGTAGTGTTGAACTATTTGTATTCACCAAACATCTACTATGAGAAAAAAGTAGGGTATAATGCAGCCAATAAACCTGATGAAACCCTGGTTCTTTAGTTACCGAGACTCCAAGCTCAGTCATACAAGATTGAATAACATGGTCCTCTCCATAAACGAATGGATATCTCTTGAGGCAACCGTCTAAATTCTTCGCCAATGCCTTTGCAAGTGGGTAACTCACTGCAATTCCAGCTCCACCAAAAGCCATGTTAAACGCATGCATATCATTTTGTGCAACACACTCAGAATTCCCTCCAATGTAGTAGTACCTATTGTGATCATACTTTGCTAAGACATCAACAAGATTATCAATGATTACGAGCGTATCATCATCAGCCTTCACAAACCATCTCACGTCTTCGAACCCCAATTTGAATGTCTCCAAGATCATCCTTGCTGCTCTAATGGTTGAAGGATTGTTATGCTTATCGTATTCTTTGAATCTAGAAGTGTCTTCAGAAACTCTGAAAGGAGGTGAAGTTGAAGGCCAAGGGTATTCTGGAGCCTTGTCTAGCCAAACAACCCCGCGAGTTTGATTTGGTCGCCACCACAGATCAACGTAAGGCCCACGATTTGGCCATCCCTTAGCAGAGGCCGATATTGCAAATACTATGTGGTTGACAGTGGTAGTAGCAACTAAATTACCTGAAGAAGAGGATGCTCTGATTAAGGGGTCTTCTTCGTTGTATTGGTGCTTGAAGAACAACTGAGATGATTTGAAGTAAAGATGGTCAGACAGGACATGGATTAGGAAGAATATGAATGCGGTAAGCAGGGTTAATTTCATTAGACATGCTCCAAGATTTTCAAGCAGCTTGGAGAGCTTGAATCGAGTGAGTATTCTGCTGATCATTGGCACCTCTTGGAGAATGAAGAGGCAAAGTGAAAATATCTGAAGAAGTCTAAGAAGACCTTTAAGTTTTTCTTGTTAAGGAAGGTATGTTATTAAATGGCACAAGTGGGATCGGGAAAGAGAGTTTTCAATTTTAGATTAGATGCACTATCATGTGACCAGATCCTAAGCATAAGGAATGGACATGCCTCAAATACTAACCCAAAAAAAAAAAGGGCTTAAGATAAAATCCTTAGTAAAAGCAATAGAGAACAGCCTACTCAGTGAGCACATTATTAAACACTCTTCATTTTTCTCGAGTTGACAAAAACATGTGAATCTTCAGTTTTGGGCTGAAACTACATTGGTGATAGCTAAGTATGTAATATGTGATCAGCTGTAAGTTATAGGGACACGAAAGAAGGAAAGTAAAACCAAAAGTGTGAGCCTTGCGTTAACAGAAAAACATGTGAACATTTCTATTCATTTGAAAGTACACTGGTGATAGTTAAGTAAGTAATATGTGATCAATTGTAGGTTACCGGAACAAAAGAGGGAAAATAAGGCTTCATTCTTAATCCAAACAGAGAAAGAAACCAGACTTTTTGGGTCTTGGTAAGTACAATTAATTTTTTAATGCTCACACCTTTGTCATGAAGGGATTACAATAATGGTTGTCTAAACTTCTAGGGAAAAACAACCTGAAATATAAGATAATCCAAGTCAATGAAAATTGATATGAGATGCAAATTTAGAATCCCAGAATAAACCATACAGATTCCGGAAATAAAGTTAGTGAAAATCCTAGAATAAGCACTATACACATGAGAGACCTGGAAAAAAGATAGAAAGTATAAGTTGAGAATACTAATATAAATAGCAACTAGTGTTACACCTGCACCATGCTGCGTCATTTTTTTAGTTTAATTATAGAATTTTCACTTTACATTTTCTTTGCTCAATCATTGAGATATGTGAATTCAGTGATTAGCTTGAGCCTTGGGCATGATAATTAAATTAAAAAGAGGCATATTTCATAGACTACTCGGGTGCATTTTGAGCAATTAAAAAATCTAAATTCACATAAAGAATCAAATTAAATATTTATGTAGTGGTATTGAACATTCATTTGCATATGATATTGTTAGTAATCAAGACTTAGAATAATTAAGAAAAACTAAGCTTACAGCATAAATATATAACATATTACAATCTTTCTTAAGGTTACAGGCAAACCTTCAATTACCAAGAATCCTATATCATGCACATTGTAAATGGTACTTAAGTTTTGCACCTTCACCAACTTTGATATTGACAACTAAAAACTGAGATATGTGAATTCAGTGATTAGCTTGAGCCATGGGCATGATAACTAAATTAAAAAGAGGCATATTTCACAGACTACTCAGGTGTATTTTGAGTAATTAAAGAAATCTAAATTCAGATAAAAATCAAATTAAATATTTATGTACTAATATTAAACATACATTTGCATATGATATTGTTAGTAATCTAGACTCAGAATAATTAAGAAAAACTAAGCTTACAGTATAAATATATAACATATTAAAATCTTTCTTAAGGTTACATGCAAACATTCAATTACAGAGAGTCCTATATCATGCACATTGTATATGGTAGTTAAGTTTTGCATACATGCACCTTCACCAACTTTGATATTGATAACTATAAATTGATCATAATTTTGTGATTTCAGATTGCCCATGATGGAATCTGTCCAAAATCATTTACGTTATTATCAAGGGCATGGTAATACAATGCATTTTGTCAATGTGCCATTGGGATAATTAGATAGCAAAACCTCATTGAGAAAAATTTACAAATAAATAAGCAACAAAGAGGAAAAATTGCATATAAAGAAGCAACAAAGAAGGAAAATTATAAATAAAGAAACAACAAAAGGATATGGTTATGTACCCATAACAAAAAGATACGCATATAAAATGGATAAAATACTTTTATAAAATGGAGTGTAGCCATAAACTCTGCAAGAAAAGTGAAGTTGGATGCATAAGAAAAGCCTGATCGAACTCGCCTTATCAACAAATCACATCATTATGGAGTTGGAATTACTAAAATATAAAGGGATAGCAGAGTCCTTTTATCGGGATTAGTTTGCAATATTTATAGAGAGGAGATGAATTGAGAAAGAGTGGGAAGTTGATCAGGCTTAGGCACGAGTAAAATTGAGTTGATGAGGTAGTGTGCAATTAGTGGTAATTAAGAGATGTTATGTTTCAATACTGCATGAAATTGCAAAGAATACGTAGAAGATCTAGATGAATAGTCAATTTTCTAAAAAATTGACATGTGGCATCCCAGGATCTTGTTTTAGTATATTAGATAGATTGAAAAACAAATGAACTGCCAAAAGTTTCCACAAGCTTCCCGCCATGTTAGCTTTCAAAATCAAAACACTTTTCAAGTAATTACCCACTTTTCGAGGACTACCCAGACAAGGAGGAAGATGCCTATGTACCAACAACAGAATATCAACTTCATAAAATTCCTCCTAGCTTACTTCTTTAACATTAAGAGCTTGTTTGGTTGGGCATTTTTCGCTTGGATGTTCCTAAAGCTGTTAGGCTACATCAGCTTCCAAGCAATTACCTAGTTTGTTTGGTCAAGTAGGAGCGTGATGTAATCACTAAAAATCCTAGAAGGCAAGCTCCGTCCAATTCCCTCCAAAATAGACCGTTTTTCTTGTAGTTGTCAGGGCCTAGTTCGACGGTTGGTCTCCTAGGTAAACCAACTTCCAGGAGTTTCATGAAAAAGAACCAAACAGGCCCTAAGAAAGCTAGTAGATTAGCAGCTATGAATGTCGATTACGATGAAGATGCTAAAAGCCATAAAAGCCATACCTATTGGATAGATTTCTATATGGAATCCTGAGGAGAACATCTCTCATCAAGTGGAACTTCATCTTAATCATAAAGAACGGATCATTCCCTGAACTCCACAGTAATTTGACAGCCACAGACCCAATTGTTCCTCTTATCAAGTGGAACTTCCTTCTTCCCGTAACTGGGTTGGATTTTTTTTCTCCAATATCACTGGAAACAATACATCACATTTCAGTAAACAAAATGCTTCAGCTGCTCTGATCACAACGCCACTGTTCAATTTGGAGCAAGCCCTAATGAGCGTGTTTTCTCGAAAACAGAAAAAAAAAAAAAAAAACCTAATCATCGTGCTCAGAACAGTTCCATTTGATGATAAAAGAGGCGAATGAATATTTGGAAATTCATTGAACAAATTTACCTGATGTCAATTATCAATGGAACCCTATAGACACAGCAATGTAAGTAGATGAACCCTAGAGCGTCCAAACTGGCCATCTAAACAACCTGCGATGCAAAAAAGCAGGCAACTTTGGCATAAAAATACTTACGATTCCTGGAAATTAAGTTCAAGTACCCCCTGCGAGATCTTGCCAGAAGAAGGAAACGCAGATGAAGTTCACTGAGGAGCGAAATGCGTTCCTGAGATCCGATAAACTTTCCATCGGATGGAATCGCCATTACGAGAAAATGTAAGAAATTAATTGCGAAGGTCCGGGGTTTTAATAAAGAGATTGATATAGAAATGGGTTTTGAGGAAATAAACAAATAATTAATATCTTGGTACCACCGCAGCGGCGAGGTCGTTGTAGTATGATGCGGTGAGTTTTCCCTCCTGTCACCCGGGTGATCCGGGTTCATCCCCGGCGACGGCGCGCCTTTTCTTTCTTTCTTTTTTATTTATTTATTTGGGGGCGGGCGTCTCCTTTTTTGGGCCCAATTCAGCCCACATGATAAATGATTTTACTGTTTGACCCCACCTTTAATTAGTGTCAAATCTTATTAGCTAAGGGGTTGTTCACTTGTTTGTTTGCCAAAAAAAAAAATCAAAGAAAAGGAAAGATATTTTTAAGAAAAATAGGTTTTGGGATTGTTTGGTTGGCTAAAAAAAGGAAATCAAAGAAATGGAGATGAGATGAGATGAGTTGTCACCTTAGGGGGTGTTTGGTTCAATTTCTAGAAATTATAGGAAATGTTTTTCACCTAAAATATGATTTCTTTGTATTTCTTAAAAAAATTATAGGAAAAGTTTTGAGAAATTAAAAAGTACCAATTTTCTTGTTTTTTGTACTTTGCTTGTTTGGTTCAAAACAAGAAAATAGCTCATAACTTTATAGAAAATAACAAGATTTGGTAGGTTTTTAATTAAATATGGTATGTGTCAGATTTCTGGTGATTTCCTCTCATTTTGAGAGGAAATCGCTTTTTGTAAAATTTAGTAGGTTTTGATATTTTATAGAAAATATTTCTGTAAATTTTTTGTTGAACCAAACACAATTTACAGAAATATCTGGAAAACTTTTAATTACAAATTTGTCATTGTGAGATGTTTTGAGAAAAGTTTTCTCAAAAAGTGTGCAACTAAACAGCCCCTTATTATAGGATGATGTGAGTGATTTTTTAAGAAAACTTGTTTTAATGTTGTTTGGTTGGCGGAAAAAATAAGGAAATAAATTATAAGAAACATATTTCTTATATTAGGTTGTTTTCTTTTGTTTGGTTATTTCTTAAAAATAAGAAAATAGATGAGATGAGATGAGTTATCATTATACTATTGGATGATGTGACCCACACTTAAGAAAATTGTTTTCCTAGCTTTTGGGGAGGAAAACAAGGAAATAAAATGTTAATGAGATGAGATGAGTTGTCACAATCTTATAATTGTATGATGTGAGTGATTTTTAAATATGAGATGAGATGAGTTGAGTGATGTTGTGGATGTAAATAATATTTTATTAGATGTGGTGGATGTGATGGATGAGTTGTTGGATGAAAATAATATGTTATTAGATGTGGTGGATGAGTTGTTGGATAAAAATAATATTTTATTAGATGTTGTGGGTGAGTTTTAGGGATGGAAATGTGTGAAATTGTACTTTTTGATCTTTCTCGGTTTTCATTTCTATTTTTTGGTTTTTTAGGAAATAACCAAACAGGCCCTAATACAATATTAAATGTTTTGCCATAGGGTGGTGCTACAGGGATCCAAAAACACGGGAACCTACATGGGACATGTGAGGTGTCGGTTTCCTATCGCATGATGCTCTGTTCATGAACTGTGCATCATGCGACAGAGAGCTGACACCTCACATGTCTCATGTAGCTAGAATCTCATGTTTTTGGGTTCCTAAGACATTTTTCTTTGTGATAATGGAATACTACTGTTTGACCAGTATATATGAGTAGAAGTTTAGGTTGTAATCTTCTTCTTATTTTTTCTCTTTTTTTAGGAAACTAACCTGTTGTTCAGTCGTGACTCCTACGCGGTACCCGACTGACTCCTCTAAACAGCGGGGATGCAACCTGCTCTCATCTCCATTTTCAACTTCTTTGCCACTTGCATCGTCATCGCGATCATGGACGACTTCCAACATTCAACACCTCACATTTTAACTTCTTATAATAAATTGCCGGCAAAATATACAATACAAATTAAAAAGCTAACATTAATATCTTTTAACTTGAAAATGGAGATGGAGCAAGTTGAAAGACAAAGTCTTGCAGTGTCATCCATCGGAGTTGTTTTACTCCCTAACGTGCAGACAGTAAGTTCGTTGACCAACCAAAATGGTGACGACGAGGCAATGACTTTTTATTTTATTTTTTTTATCCGTGGCATGCAAGAAAACCTAATCTCCAGTTATAGTCAGAAGCAAGTGGACGGCCAAAGCTTGTCGCAATGTTCTCATTAATTTGATATTTCTGTCTTGTTCTTTTCTTGTGGGAGCCATGTGAGAAGTAACGTGCATGCCCTTGGTTTTTGGTAACAATTAATCAACAAGAAGAGATACGTGGGACCGATCAATAATTAATGCTTTAGTCCTTGTGATTATAAATAGTTGATCGTTAGAGAAAGTCATAGTTAATTAGTTCTACATCTGACATTATAGTTTTGAATTTGTGTTGATCAAATCTCATAGTCTAGTAACTCTAGTGTGTTTTGATTTATATCTCTAAAAATTAGCATAGGTCTTAGTGTTTGTTTAGCTATTCTTTAAGAGTGGGCCAGGGTTGATCCCGACCTAATTTTTGTTTTTTTTTCAATGAAGAGCTTTATTCATTTACCAAAATGGGAAGAATATATGTACATCAAGATATACAGTTCAAAAGTGAACTGAAAAAAAAAATCAAACTCAAAATTGAAACATAACAACAATTCCATAGGTGTGAGCTTCAAAGAGATAGAAGCCATTACTTGTTGTCCGCTGGGAATGAACTATGAAGAATAGTGATCATAATATCCATCTTAATCTCCTTGGTTAACTGATCAATGCTCTTGATTTTCAAGTTGAAAATTCTATTATTCCGCTCCTTCCAAAGCCTGCAAACTGTAGTTGCTAGAGCTATCCTTTTCAATCTTTGTTTGAAGCATTTCCCTTTTAATCTTCAGGTATACCATTCCAATAATATATCTCAATCACAAGCCCTCCATCTAAATTGGAGCCAATCCATGATATTATTCCACACACCATTTGAGAAGTAACAATCAAAGAAGAGGTGATTATGAGATTCTTGAGCAGAACCAGAACATAAACAACATTGTCCTGACTGAATAATACGTCTCCTAAGTAGTCTATCTCTAGTTAGCAGCCTGTTTAGAACAGCTAACCGCAAGGTAAAACTATGCTTAGGGTAATTCAAAGTATCCCAGACTGTCAAAAACCAATTCACTTTGCTTGTTAATTACTGGAGATCTATAGCTGAGCAAATCTCTGATAACTGAACTTTTGAATTATTGTAACATGAGCTGATACATTGCTTCATATTATCAATGCTTCCACAAATGATGATTGTTTTATCTCTGGCTTTAAGCAATTGCTTCCACATCCAAGAATCCCCTGAGTTCGTGTTCACTTGCCAGATTGTAGTATTTTTCAAATAGTTACCATGAATCCATTTTATCCACAGCCACTCTTTGTTAATATGTATATACCATATTATTTTTAGAGCAGTGGCAATGTTCCAAGTTGTTGTAGAAAAAATTCACAATCCACCATACCTCTTCTCCTTGCAAATTTTATCCCAAGAAACCATGAGAGATTTAAAAACCTGATTAGTTTTTCCCCAAAGGAAGTCCATGAATAAGTCATCAATTTTTTGGAGAACTTTAGATGGTAAAATATAGTTTGAAGTCCAGTACAGTCGGATACCCAGAATCACACTTTTGATGAGTTGAAGCATCGGTGCATATGTCAAATTATGATGTTTATTTTGTGATGGGCTAAATAGGGCCACAATCCAATCGGTTCTTTCAAGCCGAATATTGACCTTAAAAATTGGTCTTTTCTAAACCACCCTCCTATAGAACAAATCCAAACCAGAAAAAAATACGACAAAACTAGGCTAGGATGAATCCCCGCTCAGTTTTGAAAGATTTATCAAACTAGCTAGCCATAAGAAATAAATTAATTTAAAATTTTAAGCTACTAGATATTGATTCAAACTTTACGCTTAAAACTACTGAACCTCGTCTAATTAATGTGGTGTCAAATATGTTCCCTGGATCAATCACCCCTTCTAGAATCACGTTCAATCATGCACATAAGCTAGCTAGCCTCCCTATATAGCACCTCATTCATTTATGTGATTGTCGGGGTTCCTACAAATTCACATCAGATGTTGTAAGTCTTTCGAACAAGTCAAGGTCGGATGGCGACGAGACCCAAGCATGCTTGCCCTTTTATGGCGGCAGTTTACATTGGTCAAGCTCAAGCTCTACCAAACTTCACTGTTTTCGTTCGAATGTATATATGGAGCTTTATATTGATTAACTGGACTGTTTATGGTGAGATA